CTAGGTTGCTACACTGAATACATCATTTATCGTCCCTTCTTTGAAAAAACAAATCATCAGCTGAGAACAAAAAATAGTATTTCTATCTCATCTACCAATATTATCAGTAACATTTTCAGTTGCGGCAGGAGATCCGTGTTCACAAAAATAAAAAGCACCACAGCCTGTATTAGACTAACCAAGCTAAATCTTGGGAAACACAGAATTTGGGTCAACACTTCATTCAGTCATTTTTTCCTGTCTTTTGAAAGATACTATCCTCCTGAACTTGAAGGAAGAACACCACAGCAGAAAAAAAAACATCCTCTGAGTAAGCCTGTTGAATCTAGAGGTATTTTCCTGGCAGGGAATCACTGCTAACATTCTCTGATGTTCCTAGAACTGCACCAAGGGGAAGTTTGTTAACATATGGTTTTGGACTCTTTCTTTTCTCTACCCTTGATCCCTTTCAAATAAGGAAAATATCTGTAGGGAGAAAAACTATGCACTGGAAATGAAGATAGACAAAAATCCACTCATCTTTGCTGGAACAAATTCTAATGTTAGTTGGTCTCTCCCAGATTAGAAAAACAAGATTAAACAAAGCATATTGGCTGGGAAAGACAAGACAGAAAAAGCTAGGAAAAGAGTATCTTGAAGAAAAACAACTAAAAGAAAACTTTTTCACTATAAGACTATTACATTAAAGTAGAATTTTGGAAAAAAAGAGTTTCCCAAGGAAAAATAAAAAAACCAAAACACACAGCATAAAACCACTTCACAGAAAAACAGGGAGAGAACCCCCTGTGTGCAATTTCGCTCTAATGATTCCATCTCAGCAAAAAAGGAGACTATTTAAGGCAAGATACCAGGCCATGTAAACTCAACAGGGATTTATGTCTTGCTTTCAGCATTCAGAATCTCCCACAGTGTCTCCTGCTGGCAGCAGGCTGACAATTGAGCACAGAAGCAATGACAGTAGAATAATTAGAACATTAAGCACAGAGATTTGCATAACTATAGTATCATTATTAAAAAAACCCCAACCCTGAATATGAAAAACACTGCAGTTTTATTCGCTGAGACAGGGATCAATATAAAATAGTCATTAGTAAGAAAAGGAATAGTAACAATGAGAATTGGACACCTAGTCAGACACTGGAGACTGCTAACATGGAAAGAAAAATAATATCAGCAACTTTTCAGCACCCCTGCACTCCACTTGGTTAATAATATTTCATTTTAGTGTAAAGTTAAATACCTTTTACAGAAAAAGTGGAAGCTTGCACTGTTCATGATTTCTCAAAGGCTCACTGTTCAGAGATTAGCAAAAGTTTTTTTCCCAAGGACTGCCCAAATCTTTTTTATCTAATGGCTTAATAGTAGTCCAATTCAGGCTCTTCTGTCAGTTTCTTACCTTCTAAGGCTAATAGATTTAACTGAAAGTACTCAAACTGTTCAGTGGAAATAAGAGGCAAGGGAAACAAGATTGATGTTAGATACATCTCCGTTCAAACTGTAAGGGAAACAACCTAAAAGAAAAAGCTTGTTGCCATTTGCTGTTAAGAGCTACACAATAGAGATCTTCCTGCATGTGTCTTATACAAAACAGCACTAAGATAATGTAATAAAACTCAACATAATAAACCTCTAATTCAGTTTTGAACTGAATGCTCTTACGTGGCCATTAATTTTAAGGTTAATTGTGACAGTTATTTGCAATGGTTAACAATGCAGATGTGTAAAACTGAGTTTTTAGAAGCTTTAAATTGGAGCTGGATTATCTATCGTAATTGTTTCAAGGATGACAAGGAACTAATCCACCTTGAAAATGTCAAACTGCCTGAATAAATATCTGCAATGCATTTAAAGAGAGAAAGCCTTTTTTCTACTTTTCTGCAAGTGACAAAAAAACACTGGCAAATTAAAAACAGCTGGAAAAAAGGTTATTAAAGAAATATCTAAACTTACTCATAAGTATAAAACATATTCAAGTGGTTGCTAACTATATTTTCTTGAGTAACTAAGAGTAACCATGACTTGGTTCTAGAAAGCAAGGAGGATCAGTGGTAGAAGTTGGTTCTTTCGTACAGCTTGAGGAAAGCAAATGCACGGTTAATTACATGAAAGCATACATGGGTCCTAGAGCTTCAATTCCTTTATAAAAAGCCACTGTGGACTGACTTCTTATCACCAAAAAAGTCTTTCCATTGAATTCGAATTTTCCCTTGAATAAAAAGAATGCAGTAGCCCAACATGACACAGTATTTAAAAAAGGAACAAGGTATTGATGATTCTGTCTCAGGAGGGCTTGAGAGAGTACTTTAGGGTCTCTGCACGCAAAACAATTGTCCAAATGCCCTAGTAAGCGGTAACACCTGAAGCAGAGGGGCAGATATCCAGAGCATTATGGAAGGGCTTTATACTGCACATAGGTAATGGTAGGCTATCAATTTTCTTTGCTTGTAGAACTGAAACCATCCTGACCAAATGATTTAGGTAGCTTCTTTGAATGGGAAGATGCAAATCTATTTGTGTTTACAATACAATGAATTTATATTCATTATTTTTCTCAGAACCAAATTAATAATACAGTTATTTGTCCCACAGTTGTCCTGTTCAATTAATAGTGCTCTTTACATTTGAGCTGTTTTACCATTTTAACCCTCAGGAAAAGGATCACAGGAGAACAATTCACCCTCTTAATTATTTCCTGAAAAAAAAAAGATTCGATTATAAAAATATATGGTCTTAGGAACTGGCTCATGTGTCCTTATGTAATGTTCCTGGATACCAGCTATTAAGCACAATCCTCTCTCTCTAAAAGGGAATGAGCAGAGGTAGGCCTAAAAGAATTATAATGAAGAGCTGTCATCGCAGTGCAAATTAACTGCACGTTCGTCTTTTAGCTAGCAGTGCTTCACCAGATTTTGGTCGACTTCCACACCCGCTTATACTACTGATACACTCACTGCTTATGCTGAGGAAAGCGATCTCAGGGGAAGCAGTGAAAAGCAGTACATTTATAAATGCTAAATATACAGACACATTCCCTAGTTAATTGAATTTCCGCAACTGGTTTTTCATAACCTAACTATTTGTTATGTGCTCTCCCAGTTAGTACTTTTTCTTTTTCTTAAAGTAATTGTAACAATGTTCTCCACTGCAGCTGTCTGCCTACAAACTAATGCTATCATCCAATTGCTATAACAATCTCTGGCAAATCTTAGCTACAATATATTCCTCGACTCATTATCAGTAACACACTGACAAAGGGTGAAACTGCAATTCATGACAGAGAATTCAAATGAAAGGGTCCTTCAGGACTTCTGAAATACTCACCCACTGTATGGTACACTGAAAACAGCCTGTGAGACCAATTAAATGTGCACAACTATCTTTTATCGCTATTGTGCTTTGTTGATGCTGAATAATAGAACTGTTTATTTTGTGGAACAGAATTAAAAAGAAGGGCAAACATGGGTCTAGATATGCGTATAGGGAGTTTCACTTACACAGAGTTCTCAGGTGCATTAACACCCACCTTGCACCCAACACAACAGAAATCCTAAACAGGTCTTAACTGATGACTCAAAATTTGATCTCGCTTTCATTTGAGGAACTAGGACAGAGTTCCAAACTAGAGCACGGGCACTCCTTCTTTTCCTGGGTAGATGTAAAGAAACAGCTAGAATTCCACAATCCAAGACTTAAATTTGTTTAAAAAATTGTATTGCCTTTTGTCTTGTTCTAATTTTATAAATAGAAGTGTTATCACTATTTTGGTTAGTGTGTTTGGTGCTTCTTCATCACCTGCTCTTTTAAAATCAAAAAGTTAAATCAAATCAATATTCCTCTAAACAGTACAGTATTTATGCTACTCACATCTAAAATAAAGGCGGCTTGCAATGCAAACGTAACCCAAAGATTATGTTCAAATGAGTTAGCTTGCTTGTAATAGAGTATTATTCTTCTGAACAGCAAAGTCCTACCAATGTATCAGCTGTGACTGGCAGTGAGATTAAAACAAAAGATCACACACTTCACTGGTGATGTATTTTTTTCATTTGGTTTTATGCATTCCTATGGGCCGGGCCAATCATGCATCTGATTTTATCACATTAATACCTACAAGCATTGATAATTGATATGTGAAATGTTTAGCTGTTAATTTTTTAGCTTTCACACCAGTTCAATGGCACAATTACTGCTCTGAACTGTACTGAAGCAGACTAAGTCTTTAATTCCTAGTACCTGTTAAAAAAAAAAGTCAACAGCACTGTTATTGCATGTAAATGAAGTCCAAAATTAGCACCAGTGTCTGTGTCGTGGTTTGACCTCAGTCAGCAACTGAGCACCACACAGCCGCTCGCTCACTCCCCCGCCCCGGTGGGATGGGGGAGAGAATCGGAAGAGTAAAAGTGAGAAAACTCGTGGGTTGAGATAAAAACAGTTAAACAGTTAATAATTGAAATAAAATAAAATCCTAATAATAATAGTAATAATAATAGCTGACCGATGCCCAGCCAGTCCCCGAGCAGCGGCCCCCCCGGCCAGCTTTCCCCAGTTTATGTACTGAGCATGACGTCACATGGTATGGAATGTCCCTTTGGCCAGTTTGGGTCAGCTGTCCTGGCTGTGCCCCCTCCCAGCTTCTTGTGCACCTCCAGCCTTCTCAGTCGGTGGAGCATGGGAAGCTGAAAAGTCCTTGACTAGTGTAAGCACTGCTTAGCAACAACTAAAACATCGGTGTGTTATCAACATTGTTCTCATCCTAAATCCAAAACACAGCACTGTACTGGCTACTAGGAAGAAAATTAACTCTATCCCAGGACAGTCTGAAAGTTACTTTCTGTTGGGCTTAGCTTGTAATATGGTTTGCATGGACACAACTTCACAGTTCTTGTTGAAAAGCAATTCACAGAATTAAAACTTAAGACCTAAAGTTTTCTGTGTAGACATGGCCAATTTGTCTAACACTGAATGTTTACACCACATATATAAATATGAAGTAAGATTACCTTCTTCAATTGAGTTTCCATCTTCAAACATTCTTCCTTTTTCTGTTCCAATGCAATTTCCAGTGTCTTGAGTCTTGAATCTTTCTTCAGTCCTGATGAAGCTAAGGATGAAGCATGTTCCTTCAGATCCAGTAAGGATGACTAAAATAAAAGATGTAAAATAACTATCAAGTAAATTCTCTCTATGTGTAATAGCTAGTTTCTTTTTTGTCTTTATTTTCTTCCTATCCCTTCACACTATGTTCAGGATCCAACTTAGAACAACACATTTTGTCAGGATGTTCATGTCACTGACTTAACACAGCTTGATTTAATTCAGGTTTTCAGGATCAAAATAAAACCTTGTCTAAATTCATTTTAAAACCATTTTTAAAGATGGAAGATTCTATAAACTAGAACTCGTGCTTCAGTGACAGTCATGTTTAAGAAAAATTGGTTTTAAATAAAATCGTATTTAAAAATCATATGTTGTTAGCAGATTTGGCCACTGTATCTAAAACTGAGAGCATCCAAAGCTTTTCTGTATACAGCTGCTATGGGGTGAAACTGATTCATGCTACCTATCTCCAGAAGACATCTCAACTTCATGTTTTCCAAACTGTTTTTGTGTTGTTTCTTTCCTGTCAAACGTTGACTTCCATGTAGACAAAATCTTAGCACTTCCTGAGCGCATATTTTTTGTATTGTTTTACTTTGATTGAATTTTGAAAAAAGATTGTAAGTAGACTTGTATGTTACAATTCCAGGAGAGGAACAGACAATTTTTGTACTTCTCATATATAATTAGGTTAATTTGTCTAGCCAACTGGCTCATTACCAACAACCAACTTAATTATCAAAAAAAGGACTCTTCAGAGTCAAAAGAACTAGCCATATTGTTTGCATAAAGGGATAAACATTATCTGCATGCTTTTAGCACCCACAGCTTTGATCAACCTCTGTCCTTTCCTCCCTATATTTAGACAGGAACAGGCTCGTTCTCTGCCTTCAGTTGTCTATAAGCATAGCTCCAGTAAATGCTATCATTGACCATCGGTCATTCACTACTAATACGATTAACTGCTGCAAATAAGGGGACTGTGTGCTATCCGTGAAAAGGTGGTTCTGAAATATTTATGCTTTGAAAAATTCTCAAACAATGTATTTTACTAGATAAACTTGTTGAATGACCATTACTATAAAGGAACAGTTTTCTTCATCTCAAATGTAACACATACACATACAACAAACAATTATAACACAACAGATTCATTCTGCTGGTCAACCTCTTTCTCTGTGAGATCTCCTTGTAAAATGCTGACTTTCTCTTTCAGGTCCTTAATGTCTTTTTTGTAGTTGTCGATCTCTTCCTGTTTTTCTCGTTCATCTCTGTCACGTTGCTCCTTTAGGCGCTCAATGGTTCTTTCCTGACAAAAGAAAGCACTCTGTGAAGAAAATCCCTCTTAATCAGTTCACCTTCTGAGAGTTCTTATCACAACACTTCTTACACACTGTAGACGTGGAGGCGGAGTGTAGGATATTGCCATTTTCTTTTCTGTACTGTTGTAAAACAGATCCCTCAAGAAGGAGGAGACTGGAGAAGCCTATGGATTCATTGCTAAGAAACATCAGGCTTTCTGTACCTCTGAAAGTTCACAGTACTGTTACAACGCAACGCAATTTATCTGGTTCTGATAATCAAAATTAACCAAGACCAGGATACATTACATATTGCTTCCCTACTTATTTAAATCTTATTTTTCCAAAATGTACAGTTAGGTGCCCTTCAGAGAGGAAGGGGTGTAGTGCATGTGTGACGCCAGGCTCGATGTGCAGTAAGAAAAGGCAACAAAACAACTTTTCTGTACACCAGACATCAATGGAGCTTTGGTTGTCTTGGAAGCTGAAGGGATGCAAATGAATTCCCCAACCTCAGGCAAAGCTTTACCATAACTTTACATTTATAGAATCTGACAGATTAAAGGAGCTGTAACCCTGGTTCTCCAGGAATCAAGAAAAAATATACAGTAAATCCAAAAAGTTGCCCCACCAAAACAGAATAGACAAGGCTGTTCCCTCAGTCCGCTACCTCCTGAGAATTGGGCAGGCATAAAAAAAAATACAATGAGAACAATAAAGCTGCAAATAAAGTGAGACTGAAATACAGCTACATCAGGATAACTATTCATTTTAATTCAATATTGGGAACTAAAACTCAATGTCATGCAGCAAAACTTTAAAAATAAATTTCTTATTACAATATCTGAGCAGAGAAGATAAAATGAAACAAGATATTAGCCAGACTTAAAAAAAAAAAGGGGGGGGGGGCCAGAAGAATCCGCAGCTGAAATGTAAGGCATCCCACAATCGTACCAAAGATGCACCACGTAAAGAAACGACAATGCGAGAACACCAATTTCTTTCACACAAAACGATGGTGAATAGCTAATGACTAGAGCAATAGCTTGTGGCTCAGTTCTACCCTCATATGCCCTCCTCATCGTACAAAAGTCGTACCCTGGGCTGGTTCTGTGGGAGAGCAGCCCGGCTGCCACTCTGCATATCCTGCGGTGCCCTCTAGTGAGGGACGCATCTCGGCAGCAACCGCACTCTCCTGATCCCTCCTCAGCTGTCAGGGACCAAGGACGTCACTGCGGCATTGCATTAGAGACGTCTTGTTCGCACAGTCCAGGAAACACACGGAAAAGCTGACTTTAGAGAGGTTATTAGTAGAAGGACCTTTCGAAGGAAGGGTCCTTAGGCTTGCCATACTCACTTTTTCTGCAAGTGCTTCTTCCAGAGTGGTCAAGGCAGTGTCGGTATTTGTGGTGTCAGCCTGCAAGGATTTCACTCGATCCTTTAAGCTGCTCATTTGCTTCTCCTTGTCTCGTAACTGCTCTTGAAGATTTTCAATCTTAAAGAGGAGGAGTAAATTTTAAGACAACAGCAAGCAAAACCATCTGAAGTCATCTTAGGAGTATATTAAACTCTTAAAAATATTCTTAAAGCAAAGGAGGTAGATAAGGGCCTAGTTCCTATAATCCTACACTAAAACATCAAGGAATGCAACCAAACCCATCAAATATTAACAAGGAATCAGTAGCCTTTCCAATAATCAGGAAAGAATTCAGAACAAGAAAGTCTAAATAATATTTACAAGAACAACATAAAGAAAGGGTATTATTCCTAATTTCTGAGGATGTTGGGCACTGTGTGACTGATGGGATGATTAATGTATTAACAATATGAAAGGAAAAAAGCTGAGAAAAACATTACTGCATATGTAAACCAGAAAAGGCACTTGATAATTAAGAAGTTGTGAAGAAGTATTATTTTAAGTATTTCCTTTGGTACTGTCATATTCTTTACTGTACTGGCATGTTGCTTTTTCATTTAACATGGTGGTTTGCTACATGATGGACTAACACAAAGTGCCATTCCCTGGGTAGAAAATACATCAGCCTTGTTTTCTGCGGGTGTAGAATTCGATTAATTTACGAGTTCTGAATATATCTTTTGACAGACTAAGGAGATCTAATGCTAAACCCGTTTTATGCATACATACACATCACAAGAAACAGACACATTAACATTACAATAACCTGTCAAAAACAAATTTATCAGCAAACGATTAAACTGGGTACAGATTTCTTAGTTGCTTCCTTTTTATTGTTGTTGCTGACAAGTTCTTCTCACATCAGCAAACGTACATCATAAACTGGTGAATGACATGTGGCATGTAAGGTACCCATCTCCAAAACACTTGTAGCAAGACATTCTTGTAAAGACATTTGTAAGAAATAATGTCACAAGACAACCTCAAAGGCTATCCAGTCCAGTATTTAGCAAACTTTTCGAAAGCATTACTAGCCTTTTTGCTTCACTTGTCGAACAGCAGTTAGCAGCTCCTCAGTTAGTGGAAATACAGTAACTATTCCCAGGTTTTACTCTTCAACCCTGGAAGAACTGAGCTGCTGTGATTACAGAGCAAATGGCTATTTAGACACATCCACTACTACTTTGCTATCTCTATTAAAATTGCATCTGGACCATAGTTTTAGAAAATGGTTAAATCAGTAATGATAAATGTAAAGAATTTTGCAGGAGGCTGAACATCTAGTCACAAAAAATCACTGATGTGTTACAAGTGGGAGCTAGGAAGAAGAAGGACCTAATTCAGGGAAACCCTTGCTAATGTTCCTCTGTAGCCCATGGCCACTGAAGGAGTCTCCTGGTATAAAATTCTCCATACCAGATTTATTTCTCTTGTGCAAGCACATGTAAACTTACGATCCAGCTTTGTACACAATCCATGTATTACTAATGGCAGAAGAGCTATGTAAAGTTTTTCGTTGTTGTGGGTTTTTTTAGGTAGTGGACTGAAATTGGTTGTCATTTATCTTTATCATTAATTTCTCTTAGGAAAAAAAGTATTATAGAATCATAGAATCGTCTGGGTTGGAAGGGACCTCTAAAGGTCATCTAGTCCAACCCCCCCTGCTGTGGGCAGGAAGACATTAGGCCTCCAAGTCATGCTTAAAATTTACATCTGAGCACAACACAAATGACACTACAAAACAAATTTTAAAGAGCACCAAAAAAGCATAACCAGTGACATCTCATGTGAGTCAGAACTAAATGTAAGAACTGAAAATTCCTACTTTATACACTCATATCTATTATTCAATGCCTTATTAGCATACATTTGTAACCCGTGAAGCTTCAGAAAGAACCCTACTAGTTCTGACTGCAAAGTTCTCCTGGCGCCCACACGTACAGCTACAGGGGAGGTAGTATCCCCAAGAGCAGCCTATGTGGCTGCTTTTGACCTTACAAGCTTTCAGTGTCGTCAGCTGTCTAGACAGGCTGGCTGTTTAGACAGCCAACCATGAAAATATACTACAAAGAAGGCTGAGCTATTCTTAGACTCGTGTTTACTCCTGGAGGTGAAACACTCTCGCAAAGGCTCCAACTGGCTGAAAAGGGGATAGTGCAGGGTGACTTTCTGCTGTGAGCAAACCGTACACAAAAGAGACAGCTAAATAATTCAGATTCAGCATATATTAAGATGCTTTCCAAGGCAGCACAAGCATTTGCACAAGCACAGCATGCATTTTTGTGTTTCAATAACTGTTTACTGTGACGAGAGTAAGATGACAGCTGCATGACAGTACTATACATGACTGCTGCATCTTCCTTCCCATTGCAACTGCACCTTCCTGTATACCAAATAAAAAATAATAAAAAAATGTAACGTGTAGAAAGTGTAAACCTGTCCATTCTTTCAGTCTACATGCATACTTTTCAGTCTGGAGTAACGAACGATGCTTTTCGTTACCATCCAGGGAACAGTAGGTAGCCTGAAATGTTCTAAGTCACACTAATAGCTAGGCACTACCTAAAAAACCCACTCTACCTACAACTGTGCCTTTTGCAGGGTCAGGTAACTGATGGTTCCCAACAAGGACATGCCCTTAAAACTACAGAAAACTAGAACTGGACCAAATGATGTATCCAAATTGAAACACTTTTATAACAACAGAGGCAACATTTCCTTTATGAAATCACAATCAACAAAATAATAGCCTTATTCCATTTTTCTCCCAAACCTCCGTTACTGTAACAAATAATAGCTAAACTATAGGTTCTGCAAAATGATATAATCCCAAGAAAAAAGCAAAGAATAGTCTACATTTTGCCTATATAGTTAATGAATAATTTTGCTATTATGTCCTTGCAAGTAGTTTGAGAACGCTTTTCAAAAAGAATACATAATGTACATCATATTTGTTTTACCATCCTTTTTTCCTATCCAACCCCTCCAAAAAAGTAATTCTGAACAAATTCTTAAATAACAGAGAGAAATAAAACAGATAACCAAAATACAGTCTTTCTTTTCTACCCAACAAAAGATGAAATAAATCGCAATGGAATCTCCAAGCCCTCTGGAAAACATAAAGGGACAAGGATTGAACCAGTACTGTTTAATCTTGAAATATTTGGAAGATGATGAATTTCCTCTGAAATGTTCTACAAACCTAAGGAATTACTGTACAAAATTTCTAAAAAGGAAAAATAAAAAATGTATACTATTATTAGATTATTAACAATCTTTATTCTTGCCATATATACTTATTTTGCAGGGTAAACACAGCAATCTATGGATAAGTTAGCAACACTAAGCTTACTGTAAAGGTAGACATAAATACACTGGAATCATCTGCTCTGCATACCAATTTCCTCATCAATAATGATTTACTGAAATCTTTTTTCCCAACATTACCAGTTGTCAGGCACTATCATGTTTCAACCTGGGTGATTTATTCCTAGTTGTGTGGAACTAATTATTTTGCCTTCCAGCCCTGAAGCACAGGAGCAGAGGCAAAAGAAGTCTCCTCTGGCATTCTGTTCCAAAGGCAAGGAAATATTCTACTTTTTGCAAATACCAATCTCACTGAAAACCCCATGCAAATGCAAAGAAAAAACAGCCCAGGGAATTAAATGAGACGCATCTAGTTTAATACCCATCAAGGCCATTAGATACTCAAATTCCTCTAGTTAGAGGTTACTAGTAGATCTTCATATCATGCTTCAACCAAGAAATCCTTTTGTAGAACCATCATCAACCCTACGGTACGTGTAAATTGGACACTTGGAAAACAATTTCTATTGTACCAGTGATGTTCAAATTAGAATAAATGAAGTGGGTTTGTAAACCGGTTATTCAGTCTCTTTTTTTTCCCCCCCTCCCTGTTAAGGGAAAAGAACCTTTTTACTCCTTCAAGATATTTGTTTTTAATCAAAGATGGACACTTTACAACAACAACTTTCTTCATCACCTGGGTTGTAACAGAATTAACTGCATTTATGTTTCATTTCCCACTTTCAAATTTCTTCTTGCTATTCTGTTTGACTTCTTCTAAAAGGAATAAAATCGTGAAAGAAAAAAAATTAAAAGTGGTAAAAGCCCTTTAACTTACTTCTTTCTGAGGCAATAAGAAAAAAGTGAAACAATCCTCTTAGAAAAATGAGGATCCAATAATGTTTGGAAATATTTAAAAAAATGCAAAATGCCCATTCAAAATTCAAAATCTTTCTCAACTTGAGAAAGTTCATTGCATATTCCACTGTTTGTATGTATCTCCAACATGTAGTAACTAGCTATATTACCTACCTGCAGACAAATCTTTCACTGTACTTTTTTTTCTACAGATGGTGAAAATGCCTTTGTTTATATTCTGCACTTGACTTCCTCAGTGCAGCTCCGGAAAGAGATTGTTTTGATCAGTAACATGACATGATCATCATAAATTACACTGAATATACAGAAGACAATCAATTTAACACTTGATAATATTCCTTGATTGTATTAAAAGAGCAGATGTACAAAAGAATATCTCAGGATACTGTTAAGCCTCCCACTTTTTCAATCCTAGCTTTCATCCGGTGGAAGCAGTACTGTAAAAAGGATCTAAATAATCAGGTGGGTTGAGAGGTTTTCTGTTCTATTCCTATGGCATAGCCATCCAAATAAACAAAAACTTCACATAAGCTGTGAGCTTTCCAAACAGTTCTTCCTTGGTTTTGTAAAGGCACTATTGGTCACGTCAGCTCCAGGGTCAATGACTACAAGGAGATGATGGATTCTCACCGATCACAGGCAGAGATGATTCTGTCTGTGTCAGGAATATTAACATGAGGAAAAAAAAAGCCATTGTGGAAGAGAGAATGGGCGAGTGAGCAGGTATGTGATGATAGAACAGGTACAATTCTGTCTAGTTGGAGACATGCCACTCCCTTCAATGTAAGAATACTAATATCATGATAAAAATTTGACAGCCTGCAGTCATACTTGATTTTGCTAGAATCCTACAGTATTTGAGAAGCTGAGAAAGGTGGGCTTGCATCAAAATC